ATTCTTTATTTAATGACTTGGAAAATTAAAAGAAAAATATTTACCATGTCGAAAAAATAGTTTGGATGTGTGTGTGTAGTTGTGTGTGTGTGTGTGTGTGTGTGTGTGTGTGTGTGTGTGTGTGTGTGTGTTTGTGTGGGTGTGTACTCACCTATTTTACTCACCCATTTCTGGGGTTGCAGGGGTCGAGTCACAGCTCCTGGCCCCCTCTTCGCTGATTGCTACTAGGTCCTCTCTCTTCCTGCCCCATGAGCCCCTTTTCATACCTCGCCTTAAAAACTATGTATGGTTCCTGCCTCCACTACATCCCTTTCTAGGGTATTCCACGGCCTGACTTTCTCTATGACTAAGAAATAATTCCTAACATCCCTTTGATTCATCTGAGTCTTCAACTTCAATTGTGACCTCTTGTGTCTGTGTCCCTTCTTGGAACTCCCGTCTTGGGCACCCCTTGTCTATTCCGCGCAGTATTTTATATGTCGTTTCATGTCTCCCCATGTGTGTGTGTGTGTGGGGTGGTGTACTCACCTTTGTTGTTACTCACCTAGTTGAGGTTGCGGGGGGCGAGTCCCAGCTCCTGGCCCCGCCTCTTCACTGATTGCTACTAGGTCACTCTCCCTGAGCCTGGGGCTTTATCATACCTTGCTTAAAGCTTTTGTATGGATCCTGCCTCCACTACATCGCTTCCCAAACTATTCCACTTATGACTACTCTGTGGCTGAAGAAATACTTCCTAACATCCCTGTGATTCATCTGTGTCTTCAGCTTCCAACTGTGTCCCCTTGTTATGTGTCCAATCTCTGGAACATCCTGTCTTTGTCCACCTTGTCAATTCCTCTCAGTATTTTGTATGTCTTTTATCATGTCCCCCTATCTCTCCTGTCCTCCAGTGTCGTCGGGGTTGTTTTCCCCTTAACCTCTCCTCGTAGGACATACCTCTTAGCTCTGGGACTAGTCTTGTTGAAAACCTTTGCACTTTCTCTAGTTTCTTCACGTGCTTGGCTGGGTGTGGTTCCAAATGGTGCCGCATACTCCAATATGGCCTAACGTACACGGTGAACAGGGTCCTGAATGATTCCTTATTAAGATGTCGAATGCGTTCTGAGGTTTGTAGGCGCCCATATGCTGCAGCGTTATTTGGTTGATGTGCACTTCAGGAGATGTGCCTGGTGTATACTACCCCAAGATTTTTTTCCCTGAGTGAGGTTGTAGTCTCTGACCCCCTAGACTGTACTCCGTCTGCGGCCTTTTTTTTGCCCTTCCCCAATCTTCATGACTTTGCACTTGGTGGGATTGAACTCCAGGAGCCAATTGCTGGACCAGGTCTGCAGCCTGTCCAGATCCCTTTGTATTTCTGCCTGGTCTTCGATCGAGTAAAATTTCTTCTCATCAACTTCACGTCATCTGCAAACAGGGACACCTCAGAGTCTATTCCTTCCGTCATGTCGTTCACAAATACCAGAAACAGCACTGGTCCTAGGACTGACCCCTGCGGGACCCCGCTGGTCACAGGTGCCCACTCTGACACCTCGCCACGTACCATGACTCGCTGCTGTCTTCCTGACAAGTATTCCCTGATCCATTGTAGTGCCTTCCTGTTATCCCTGCTTGGTCCTCCAGTTTTTGCACCAATCTCTTGTGTGGAACTGTGTCAAACGCCTTCTTGCAGTCCAAGAAAATGCAATCCACTGCTGTCACCATGTCATAGAACTCCAGTAGGTTTGTGACACAGGATTTCCCGTCCCTGAAACCATGTTGGCTGCTGTTGATGAATCATTCCTTTCTAGGTGTTCCACCACTCTTCTCCTGATAATCTTCTCCATGATTTTGCATACTATACATGTCAGTGACACTGGTCTGTAGTTTAATGCTTCATGTCTGTCTCCTTTTTTAAAGATTGGGACTACATTAGCTGTCTTCCATGCCTCAGGGAATCTCCCTGTTTCGATAGATGTATTGAATATTGTTGTTAGGGGTACACATAGCGCCTCTGCTCCCTCTCTCAATACCCCCTGGGGAGATGTTATCTGGCCCATTGCCTTTGAGGTATCTGGCTCACTCAGAAGCCTCTTACTTCTTCCTCGGTTGTTTGCACTGTGTCCAGCACTTGGTGGTGTGCCCCACCTCTCCGTCTTTCTGGAGTCCCTTTGTCTCCTCTGTGAACACTTCTTTGAATCTCTTGTTGAGTTCTTCACATACTTCACGGTCATTTCTTGTTGTCTCTCCTCCTTCCTTCCTTAGCCTGATTACCTGGTCCTTGACTGTTGTTTTCCTCCTGATGTGGCTGTACAACAGTTTCGGGTCAGATTTGGCTTTCGCTGCTATGTCATTTTCATATTGTCTTTGGGCCTCCCTTCTTATCTGTGCATATTCGTTTCTGGCTCTACGACTGTTCTCCTTATTCTCCTGGGTCCTTTGCCTTCTATATTTCTTCCATTCCCTAGCACACTTGGTTTTTGCCTCCCTGCACCTTTGGGTAAACCATGGGCTCATCCTGGCTTTTTCATTAATCCTGTTACCCTTTGGGTAAAAAACCTCTCCTCAGCCTCCTTGCATTTTGTTGCTACATATTCCATCATCTCATTACTGGCTTCCCTGCCAGTTCTCTGTCCCACTGAACCCCGTTCAGGTAGTTCCTCATTCCTGTGTAGTCCCCTTTCTTGTAGTTTGGCTATGTGTGTATGTGTGTGTGTGTGTGCGTGTGTGTGTGTGTGTGTGTGTGTGTGTGTGTGTGTGTGTGTGTGTGTGTGTGTGTGTGTGTGTGTATACTCACATATTTGTATTCACCTATTTGTGGTTGCAGGGGTCGAGTCACAGCTCCTGACCTCGCGTCTTCACTGATCACTACTAGATCCTCTCTCTCCCTGCTCCATGAGTTTCATCAAACCTCGTCTTAAAACTATGTATGCTTCCTGCCTCTACTACGTCACTTTGTGCGCTATTCCACTTCCTAACAACTCTATGACTGAAGAAATACTTCCTAACATCCCTTTGATTCATCTGAGTCTTCAGCTTAAAATTGTGACCCCTTGTTTTTGTGTCCCATCTCTGGAACATCCTGCCTTTGTCCTCCATGCCAATTCCTCACAGTATTTTATATGTCGTTATTATGTCTCCCTTAACCCTCCTGTCCTCCAGTTTCGTCAGGCCGATTTCCCTCAACCTTTCTTCGTAGAAAAATCTCCGTAACTCTGGGACTAGTCTTGTTGCAAACCTTTGCACTTTCTCTAATATCTTGACGTGCTTGGACATGTGTGGATTCCAAACTGGTATGGGCCTGTATGGGCCTGACGTACATAGTGAACAGAGTCTTGAACGATTCCTTACTGAGGTAACGAAACGCTATTTTTAACTTTGCCAGGCTCCCATATTCTGCAGTAATTATCTGGTTGACGTGCGCCTCAGGAGGTGTGCTCGGTATTATACTCACCCCAAGTTCTTTTTCCTTGAGTGAGGTTCGCAGTCTATGGCCACCTAGACTATACTCTGCCTGCGATCTTCTTTGCCCTTCCCCGATCTTCGTGACTTTGTATTTGGCAGGGTTAAATTCAAGGAGCTAGTTGCTGGACCAGGCTTGTAGCCTGTCCAGGCCTCTTTGTAGTCCTCTCATATCCTCGACTGATTTAATTCTCCTCATTAACTTCACATCATCTGAAAACAGGGACACTTCTGAGTCTATCTCTTCCGTTGTCATTCACATACAACAAAAACAGCACAGGTTCTAGGACTGACCCCTGTGAAACCCCGCTCGTCACAGGCGCCCACTCTGACACCTCGTCACGTACCATGACTCCTTGTTGACTCCCTGTCAGATATTCCCTGATCCACTGCAGTGCCTTTCCTGTTATGTGTGCCTGATCCTTTAGCTTTTGCAGTAACCTCTTGTGAGGAACTGTGTCGATGGCCTTCTTGCAGTCCAAGAAAATGCCGTCTATCCACCCCTGTGTGCGTGTGTGTGTGTGTGTGTGTGTGTGTGTGTGTGTGTGTGTGTGTGTGTGTGTGTGTGTGTGTGTGTGTGTGTGTGTGTGTGTGTGTGAGTGTGTGTTTGAATGTAGGAGAGAGTATACTCAAATACATTTACAAACGGGTATATACATCTGAGAGGAAACAAACAACCAGAGATCGTACGTGACGAGGTGTTGAAACATGGAAAGAGTGGACCTAATAGCGACTAGCCAAGAGGCGGAGTCTGCAACTATGAATCGACCCCTGCAACTACTAGGTGAGTACACACATACACAAACACACCACACAGATATGGACACACACACACACACAAACAAACACACACAGGCACACACATACAAACACACACAGACACACACACACACACATATGCAAACATACACGTAAAGATTCCCATTCTGGTGGATAGAAGCAAAGAGGAGGAATGATAATCTCAAATAAATATATAAAAGGCCAGTAATACATAGATAAAGAATCTTAGTATATGCAACAGGGACAAGAGGCAGAGTTGTAAATTGAGAAAAAAAAATGTGGAGCACGGGAGATACATAAAAATTTCTTTCACAGAATGGTTGAGGAAACAAGCGAAATTAAATTGCTAAACAAGTCAAGAAGATATTAGGAAGTATTTCTTCAGTGAAACGTACGTGAAGGCAGATTTAATACACGAATTCACTAGTAGATGTGATAGAAACTAAATGTTTGCGTTTAATTTCTAATCATCGATCGAAATCTGAGGTGATGTGCAGCTCGAGTGTGATCAAACACAACTCTATTACAACTTTCTGATTACATCGTCTTCACATCTCTACTGTTCCTGCCTACTTTCTGTATTCGACTGAAGAAGCCTACTGTGTAGGCGTAACGTTACGTTTCGGAATAAAGTTGTCTAACTGTCGCATATGTGTCTTACCTTACAACTTTCCTATTCGCGTTACCAGACGCCATGTTAAGTGAGTGTGCTGGGCTTTTCCCGTTTCCGCCATTATTAATGGAATAATTCACAAAATATTTACAGTGTTTGGCGCCACTCAAGGCCACGTTTCCGGGCTCTGCGTCTCTTTCAGCGTATATATAAACGAACAAAAGTTGCCTCATACTCATACATCTTCCTCCTTCCGCGGAGGATAGAGATACAGCAGACATGAAGGTCCTGGTGAGTCAGTGATACGATACGTATCTCTGTTCTCTGTTCTAAATCTTTGTGAGTTATTAGACATCAGTAAAATATTCGAAAGGTTGATATGATACAACAATACAATCAAAATTTATATTTTTCTAGCCTTCACTCATTAACATAATTCGTTTTTCAATTACAATGGAAGGCGTTTCCCAAGGTTAAAACACGTTTCCAATCACATCACGAGCACACACATTATTGTTTAAGTTAGTTCGCCTATAAAAGTAACCGGAATGGGACATAAATAACTAGGCACTCCAATCGTACTCGTTTACACTAGCATAACCATTCAGGAGCCCTAGTAACGTACTGCATGTACCCCATCACCCTGGCGTTCAATACACAAGCGTCATGGTAAAAATAATGAATAATTCCCTTATCTTCTCATTTATGTGCCCAGAAAATGCAGTTTATTATCCCTGTTAAGCAGTATCCTATAAAGTAGGATTTTTCACAGTTGCTGTTTGCTATTGACAGTATTTTCAGGAGAGATTCATAAGAGCAGTTTTAAAGGACGGTGCAGGAGTGTGGAAACGTGTGTAAATGAAAGAAGTTGAAAGTGAACACAGAATGAAGCAAAGTGGTGAGAGTAAGAATTCCAGGCAATGAAAGAAAGGACGTCTTACTGGAAGGAGGGAATATGGAAGAAGTGAACGCATTTAGATATTTAAGAGTCGATGTGTCGTAAGACGATTCAGTGAAGGTGGAAGAACGTCAAAGAATGGATACGGAAAAGTAAGAAACTGAGCATAGTGACACTGACAACTTTGTATACATGTGAAGAATAATGTTTACATTTTTCTAAAAGGAGAAGACTGGACATAGGAAACATGGGCTGTCAGAGAAAAAAAAATTGTTGTGAACATATGCACAGAATAAGTAATGAAGGAATCAGTAGACTGTCCTGTGACATGAAAAGTAAAATTCTAGAGCGAGAGACTGAGTGTTAAGATAGATTTGTTATGTAGCAGTGACAGAGAAAGAACTGGAATGAGAGCATGAAGAAGGTTGAAATATTCTGCAAGCAAGTAAAAAGGTGTTGGATCACAGACGTTTTTATGCAAGTAAGGGAGCCCTGTTAGGTGGACTTTAGTTCTGAATATGAGAGAAAAAAATGCTCTTACTTGCATGTATATAGATAAGTTCTTAGACCTATTAAGCATTATGGCATCATTAGTAAAGCAGGCTGTATAAATATTGTATTACAAATGGTGATCTCTGGTAGCTCAAAGGTCCTGATAAATGAAAGAACGTTGTGATCAATGTATTTTATTTCAAGCTGCAGCAAACTCTTAGCAGGCACTTCCCTGGCCCTCATGTATCTAACTGCAGTTGGTTCTATGTTATAAAGGAAAGTAGTGGTCCTCGCGTTTACCTGTGTTGATGTTTCACCTGAAGCACGATACGAAGTTTCTTTTACTCCCCCCTTCATATTTTTTTCTTAAACACGATGAGAATGTCGGTAGTTGTGGTGTTATTCTCTAACAAGTTGCCAAGTATAGTTGCTATTAGGTGAGCACGAGCACCGGATATAAGGAGGCTTTTGCGCCTACATACCTATGTCCAGGCTTACACCAAGGACCTTACAGTTGTGTGTGTGTGTTTTGTGTGTGTGTGTGTGTGTGAAAGAGAGAAGAGAAGAGAGAGAGAGAGGAGAGAGAGAGAGAGAGAGAGAGAGAGAGAGAGAGAGAGAGAGAGAGAGAGAGAGAGAGAGAGAGAGAGAGAGAGAGAGAGTGTATCTTTGTGTGAGAGTGTTTGTTTTCGTACTCATCTAATTGTATTCACCTAATTGTTGTTGCAGGGGTCGAGTTTTAGCTCCTGGCCTCACCTTTCAGGTAGACCTCTTCGCTCGACGCTACTGGTTCACTCCTGGCTGCGTGAACCCTCTTATGCCTATTGTTAAAACTATGTATGGATTCTGTCCTTTTCACTTCATTCTCCAAGTTGTTCCACTTCCTAACCGCTCTAAGACTAAAGAAGCATTTCCTAACATCCCTTTAAGTTAACTGTGCTTTTAACTTCCAGGTGTCACCTCATGTACATGAAACTCGCCTTTGAAATAGACTCTGTTTGTCTACTCTGTCATTTCCTCTCGGTATTTTGTACATCCTAAGTATGTCACCTCTGAGCCTTCTGTCGTTTATTGTCGTCAGGTTTAGCTCTTCTAGCCTCTCCTCATCATTCATACCCCTCAAATTTGGCATTAGTTTAGTGACAAATCTTTGCATTTTTCCAGATTCTTTACATATTTTACCAAGATGGGATTGACATTTGTCGTGTATAACGTTGTGAATACCTTCTTGTTGATCGTGAAAGCTACCCTTAAATTTGTCGGTCATGTGTTTGTTTCAGCAGATATTCAGTTGATCTGTGCCGCAGGTGAAATGCTCAGAACTATGTTTACCCCGAGGTCCTTCTCTTTCAGGAAGGATTGCGGTCTTTGTCCCTCGAACCTGTACACTGTTTCATGACGTGTTTGCCCTTCTTTGATTCTTCGTAACTTTGCATTTACTGGATTAAATTCCAATAGCCACTTGTCACACCAATCGTGCAGCTTTTCTAGGTTTATTTGTAGTTTTCCCTGGTCTATTCCTGTTTGTATTCTCCTTATTAGGCTCGCATCATCTGTGAACAGGGATACCTCTCCTCTGTCATATCATTCACAAACACATGAAACAGTACTGGTCCAAGTATTGACCCTTCTGGAACCCACACTCGTCACGCTCGCTATTTTGATGCCTCCCGAAAAATACTTATGGTTACCTTCCTGTGAAATATTCCTTCATCCACTACATTGCTGTCCCTGTTTTCCTTACCGCCAGCTTCACTAGATTTTGTGCTAGACTCTTGTGCAGTACTGTATCGAACTGTATTTTATAATCCAAAAATATACAGTCCACCCATCTCTATCACACTTACCAAACATTCGTTACTTTACCATAAAACTCTAGCATATTTGTAAGACAGGATTTACCATCTCGAAAACCGTACTGGTAGTTTATGAATCCACTCATTTCCCGGTGTTCCTCTACTCTTCTCCCAATAATCATCTCCATAACTTTACATATTAGGCATGTTAGTGACACAGGCCCGTAGTTCATTGCCAGTTGTCTGCTCCCTTGCATAAATATTGAGACAACATTTTTTTTTTTCCGAGCCTTTGACAGATGCCTTTTATAAGATTTGTTGAAGATCGCTGCTAGTGTTTCACACAGTTTCTCTGCTCCCTCTCTCAAAATCCACATTGTTTGAATTGTGTCCAGTACTCATTGGTTCACTCTCTCTCTCTCTCTCTTCTCTTTCTTTCTTTCTTTCTCTCTCTCTCTCTCTCTTCTCTCTCTCTCTCTCTCTCCTCTCTCTCTCTCTCTCTCTCTCTCTCTCTCTCTCTCTCTCTCTCTCTCTCTCTCTCTCTCTCTCTTTGTTTTTGACTCTTGGCAGTGTTCCTGCTTCCACTGAGAATACCTCCCAATTTTTTTTTTTTTTCGTTAAGTTCTCACGGACTTCCTGCTCATTCTTAGTGAGCTCCCCTTCTCCTTTACTCAGCCACCTTCACAGTTGCAATCCTTCTGGATCAGATTTGACTTTTAATGTTATCGCATTCTCGAACTGCCGTCCTTACCCATGCATATCTTTATCTTTTCTGCTCTTTTCAATTGCTTCCCTATTCTCTGATGTACATAGCTTCCTGTATGTCTTCCATATTCACGCACTTTTAGCTTTACTTCCTTGAACCCTGGGTTCATTGTGTTCTTGCTTGTTCTTCTGCGTGTGGGTATAAATTTCTCCTATGCCTCCTTGCACTTTCCGCTACATTTTCCCATGGCACTCTGCTTACGAATTGCTTCATATCATCATAGTATTTTCTTCTGAGGTAAGATTTATCCCTTCCTTCAAACTCTCTACTCCTGACAACGTTCACTTCCTCAGCCTTGCGTAGAAGCTAGCACCAAGGGCTTGCTCATCTTTTTTCCCTACATCAAAGCTACTTATGGTGAACACAAGGTCCAGGCTAGCTGGTTCGTTACCTCCTCTCTCCCTGGTTGTGTTTCCTGATATGTTAACATATGAGGTTTTCCATGACACCCTCCGGCAGCTTAACTCTCTATGTTTCTAGTCCAGCATGTAGCTCCAGACTTTCCCAGTCTATTTCCTTATGGCTAAAATCGCTCATAATCAGTAGCTATGCATTGCCTATGTGAATTGTCTAGACACCTCTGATACTGTGTCAACCATTTCCGTATTTTCCGTACATTCCTGTCTTGGTCTCCCGCTACTATCACCCTGGGATCCCTGGTTCTGAGTGTTCCTTTCGTGTAGTCATTCATCCCCTCTTCGTTTATTCTGTTCATCACCTCAAAATACTCCTCCTCCACCTGCTCTGTTTCTTGTCCTTTCTCTGTAATTTATAGCCTGGGAAATCCGCATCTGTAATCACCTCCTTGAGCTTGGTCTCGATTATTGTCTCCATTATTCACTCTTTACATTCATTATTCTCATTCGTTATTCATCTAGAAAATTTCAGTGTCCTTACAGTTATTGTGCTTGGGTTTTGGGGACCTGTTGTTCTCCTACTTCTTGTTCACGTATTAGGGAAGGAGTGGATTTGGGGAAGAATGGAGGTTTGGGGTAAGGGTAATGGCTGGTTGTGAGGTTAAATCTTGCATTGGAAGGAAAATGAGTGTGGGTGTGGGTGGATTGGGATCAATGGGAAAGGGGAGTGTGTACTGTGACGGGGCTGTGAGAAGGGATCTTGCACAGGATGGGGTTAGGAAAAGGAGTGTAGGCGGGGAGGAGTGGGGTTAGAGTGTGAGTTGTTCTGAATTATTGTGTCTGAATGAATGTTGGGGTTTGAGG